CACACACACACACACACACACACACACACACACACACACACACACACCGAGGGAGGAGCAGCCTTGCTAGGCCACAGAGAAGGACATTGCAACCAGTCCTGATGAGAGCTGACCTGCTAAACTAAGGTGAGATGGAAGGGGAGGAGGTCCTCCCTATTGGTGGACTTAGAGAGGGGCAGGAAGGAGATGAGAGAGAGAAGGTGGGATTGGGAGGGAAGGAGGGAGGAGCTACACCTGGGATACAAAGTAAATAAACTGTAATTAATATAAAAAATAAAGTTAATTAAAAAATAAAAAATTAAAAAAAGAATAGATAAGAGATGTGAGGAAACAATGACATTGTATTTAAAGGGAAATTTAAAAAAAATCTAAAATAAAGGAGTTGACTATATAGAAGAAGAATAACACCAAGAAGCAGAAATATGCAGTAAAATTCAAGCCCAGGCCACAGCCTCGCAGAGAATACACTAAAACTCCTCTGTGAGACTGCGCTGTTGTCCAAAAGGAAAGACACAGCACCATAGTTAAATGTATACAGCATCTGAGAAATGGCAAACACTTGTTGAAAGATTACATTATGAATGTGTAGGCCAATAAGGGGCTTTAAGAGAAATGTGGAAAGTTCTATAAGATGTAACAGTTCTCAAATGAAGTTAGAATTGTAAAGGTTATAGATAAACATTGTTCTCAAGAGACTGAATCACTGACTAGAGAAGATGCAAAATTACAACAACGGAAAATGGGGGCTTGAGATGGCTCAGTGAAAAGAGCACTGGCTGGTGTTCCAGGGAACCTGGGTTGATTCTGATCACCACATGGAGGCTCATAACTGACTGTAACACCAGTTCCAGCAGATCTGACACCTTCTGCTGGTTTCCTGGAGCACAGTACTCATGTGGTTCACAGACATACATATAGGCAAACCCCTATAGACATAAAATACATGGATAAAAATGAAAATGTATTCATGGAGGCCAAGAGAACTATTGTACAGAAAGGTAAGAAAGGAGTTATACTAAATTGGCAGAAAAAAGGAAAACAAATAAATCTGAAAAACAACCCCAATCTGTAAGGTAGACTAGTGGAAGACAGTGTGAGTGGCATGAAAGACAGACCAGGGGAGAAGAGAGAAACATTGAAAAAGTTGCCATACCTCCCTCTCACTTGAGTGTTGAGCTCTGTGAACCCTTCTTCAGCCAATGTGAATCCTACAGATGCGAAGCATCACAGGCACAAAGTGTCGTGGAATGGCTGGCTGGCAGGGACCATCACTAAATAAAGGACAAGGTAAAAGGACTCTTCCTCCCAGTGGTGTGCACAAGCTTGTCATCCATGGCATCAATGACTTTGTTTACTCTGCATCATTTTGATGCACTCCAAGGAAAACTTCATTCTCCCAGATACAATGTGGATCTCATGATAATTGATTAAGCCAACTAAATAAGAGTGCAGTCTTTGTGTGACAATGTGCGTATTCCCAAGCTGAATAACATCAGAAAGAAAACTTTACAGTCTAGCTAATCACTACAAGTTTTCATGAAGAGGTTGAAGCTACCATAGCCATTATCATCTGATGCCAGAAATTTCAACTTTTCCCTAATGACTTCTCCAGTCATCCACTGTTCATGCAAAACTGTATTGTTCAATTTCCAAGTCTTCATGTAATTTCTCTTGCTATTTATTTCTAGTTTTATTATACTATTATCTGATAAGGTACAAACAATCACAAAGGTTCTTTTTATTGCTTTAAAATAATATTAGTAAAAATAATAACTATTGTTATTATTACTATTATTATTATTGTAAATGTATTTAAATGCTGCCAGCATCTGTGTCTGTGCACTGCATGCATGCAGTGCACTGGGAGGTCAGAAGAGGCTGTTGGATCCTCTGGAACTGGAGTTGCAGATGGTTGTGGGCCACTGTGTATGTCCTGGGAATCAATCAAACCTGGGTTCCCTGGATGAACAGCCAGTGTTCTTAACCATTGTGCCATCTCTCCAGCCCCCTCATCTCTAATTTTATTAATTTAGATCTTCCCTCTCCATCTTTTCATTACTTTGAAATTTACTTTTTCAACCCTTTTTTATTGCTCTCAAAGAACTACATCCTCGTTTCATTAATTCTTCATATTTTTGTAGTATCTAGTTCATTCAGTGTTGACTTTAATTCTTCCTTGCAGTACACTCTTTCTAGCTATTACTTCCTTTTTTTCTAGAACTTTCAGGTGTGATGCTATGTTAGCAGCATGTGATCTCTCCAAGTTTTCTTTTCCTTTTTTATTTATTTTTCTTCAAAATTTATTCAGTATATGTTCTGAATGAAGCTTCCTCCCTCAAATACACCTACCCTCCCTCTTCCACCCATTCCCTCCTCCTAGTCAATTGAAAGGGGCAGTTCTCCACTATTGCCAACTGCCCATACTTGCTAAAGCTCATCAGTACTGTCTAGATCATCTTCCTCGGTGGCATGAAAAGGCTGCATCCTCAGAAGGTAGTAATCAAAGAGCAGTCAACTGTGTTCAAGACTGAGGCATCCCTGCTCCCCTCACTCAGACATACACATGGAGGCTCACCTGCCAATTGGCCAGATCTGAGCAGAGGGTCTAGGTCCTCTCCAAGCATGGTCCTCCATGGATGAATCAGTCTCTGAAGGATCCCCTGGGTGCAGATGTTTTTATTTTGTTGGTCTCATTGTGGGGCCCTCCTCTCCATGTCACCAGATGTGAGCCTAAGAGAGAAAGGATTCACTCAAAACGGTATCTAAGCAGATGTTGAGACTCACAGCCAATCATTCAGCAGAGTTCAGAGAGTCTTATGGAGTTGGAATAGAAGGATAGGACGTGGAGGGCACAGGAGATCTCTCCAAATTTTTTATGAAGGCACTTAGCAGTATCAACTTCTTTCTTAGAACTGCCTTCATTGTATCCCAAGACTTTGGGTATGTTGTGTATTCTTTTTCATTCAATTCTGAAACATTTGAATTTTTCTTTCTGATTTATGTCTTAACTCTGTTTTCATCAAGTTGTTCAGTTTCCATTATTGTTTTTTGAGACAAGGTCTCTTTATGTAGCTCTGGCTCTCCTGTAACATGCTAAATACACCAGTCTGTACTTTACCTCACAGAGATCATCCTGCTTCTGCCTCCATGTTCTGGAATTAAAGGTGTGCACCACCACAGCTTGGCCCTAGCTTCCATAAGTTCGTATACTTTCTGCTATTTATAGTTGTTGATATCCAATTTTACTCTATGGTAGCGAAAAGGTATACAGGATGTTATTTAATTTTCCTATATCTGTTCTTAAGACTTGATTTGTGTCCAAGTATGCACTCAACTTTGGAGAATGTTCCATGAGATGTTGAAAAGAAAGAATATTCAATTGTGTTTTGGCAAAATGTTCTATAGATGCCCATTATGCCACTTAATTCATGACATTATTTAATTCCATTATTTGTCTCTTTAGTTTTTGTCTGGGTGACCTGTGTTGGTGAGACTAGGGTACTGAAGTTAACCATTGCAGCTGTGTGAGAGTCAATA